CTCCTACAGAGGCGTCAACGTTCTATAAAAATCCACCCAATTTCTTTTATAAGGTTCCGTATTGTGAGAGAAGCGTGACCTTCCCATACTTCTCATTTATTTGCCGATTACTTTTACACGAAACGTATTCCCCACGACATTTCCATAACAATATGGCGACTCCTAGCAACAGGACGGGGACTCTGTATTGACGATTTCGCGAGGGAGCAAGCAAATCCTGGGACGCACAAAAATAGACTGAGGTTTGTTAGTTTGAAATTGCAATATTGAACAGCCGTATTTAAGAATGTTAAGCGTCTGCTATCTGGCCGACAATATATTATTACTATGACACATTATGATCCATCTTTTTCTTGTTTCTGACATATAAAATATTATTTATATTACGTTACCAAGATACACTATCTGTTATCGCAAAATGTCGAGCGCCATACGTATAAAAATTTCATAAAAGATTCAAGAATTTATATTAATGTAACAAAAAATATTACAAAATGTTTTTAAAGCTTTTTACATTGTATAAACATTCTCTAGACAGTTATACAAGTCGCTGTACCATAAAATATAGTTCATAAAATATTACATTCGCCCGTTCGAATTTTTTCCTGGGAAACTTTTCACTTATTTGTTTTATTCGACGATTATGATATATGTATATGAATAATCGCGCGAGATAATTACGCGAAGAAAGAGAAAGCAAAAAGGCGGCATGCTTTATAAGATGCACAGAAAAAGAAGAGGAGATGCTCTAAACATGGATCAGGGTGAACGACTTATAAAAGAGAAATAAGAAATGAATAAGACTGCGCGTGCATTAGCGTGACTCACATTTCGAACGCTGCCGTCCATCTGTTCGTATTCTATTAGTAACATTTAACGCATATAATACGTATATATTAAAATGTTACGGCAGAGGAGAAATAAAAATACAGGGAACGTGCATATCTCAACCAAAATTAAATTACTGATAAGACTTGGCGCTTAAAATCCATTTCATTCGTACAGTTTATTGGATTATTCATAATTATCCAGTAAGATAACAGACAGCGACTATGAATTGTTTTGACAAAAATTTATATGTGCAATTTCATAGCGATCATGCAATTAATTATGCGGAATTAATTATGCGAAATGATGGCGATAAAAAGTTTAAAGGATCGAGTTAGATGTCCCTTTATTTTTCTTCGATTACGTATTCCTATCATATGTTATCGCTTCGAATGACGAAAATTCCATCTCGCGGATATTATTTCTGAAAACTGACGGGTAAGTGTAAAGTCGTGGGCGACTATCCGCGGCACGCCGTCACAAAACGAAGAGCATTGACTCAGCATTGCACACCACCGCCGACCGGGATTCCACGAATACTTCGCATCGTAATTTTTCACATTTCCCCCGCTGGTTCAGCTCCTGCCACGTGATCATACACTTTCCCTCTCCGCCGCATCACGCTACCAGTTTAGAATAACCCGAAGCTCCGACAATCTTACCATTCGCAATTTCGACCTCCGGTGATTCGCGTCCTTATCGCATCATTGTTCTCGTGAGCCCAATCAAAGGCATCGAAAGCACCACCATGGAAGTTGCCAAAGGTAATTTCGAACGGATTGGAGTTTGCATTTGCCTCGAAGTATCCCACTGAAATTGTTACAGCTGCGCTCAATTACTTCTCTGCAGTTTGCATTCTTATCCACTTTCAATTTGAAATATTTTCTACGCTTCGTTTCTACTTAACAAATAGTTTAACTTTCGTAGAATTGAAATTACTGCTTTCTTATTATTCGAATCGAACAGGTTTTTTGTTAAATGGTGCACGGAAAAAAATAAGATTATATTAATAGCATTAGCTAACAGTGATCTAATTGAAAATAATCTTGTTAATTCACTAACAGTATTAATGAAACAAACGACATTTCATTAACTCGGGAATGGTTGTCTGGAATGATTTTTACATCCTAATAGCGAAAGGATAAAGCTCACAATTAGTTATACGAGTTTTCTTTTATTAAGTGAAAAATTTATGCTTATTTTTTTACTTCTCCTTACTTTTTTTAGAAAATATGCAATACCTAAATCTATATATATATTATATATATATAATTATCTCAAATACTATTAAATTAAACAATCAACAATAAGTAATTAATAATACTAACTTTTAATTAGTATGTAAAAACACCTCACTTACGCAAAAAAAGTGATTATTCTCAAATTAAAACAAGAGTATGAGCTCAATACTGTTACTAAATTAGCAAAATTATTTTTATATAGATTACTGTTAATTAATGTTAATTAATGCAAATATAACATCATCTTTTCCGTACATGGAATTTCAAATTGGGGCATAAAGATGAGAAAGATCGTAATCTCAGGTAATCAATGTAGCTTTTTTACTGTATAATGTAATGTATAATATATACTGTAATTAGCAGTAATATATCACGCGTACCTTATTTTTGTTTAAACAATTGTTTAATAAAGTCTACTACATTGTTAGCAACAGCTATTCATAATTCGTCAATTTGCTGGTTATTGATGGCTACAATTATTGGGTTACAACACAACAATTATCTGATTTACCAGTTATCAGATATGTCTATTTAACCAGTGTTTACACGTTTATTCCTGGGAATTCCCCGTATTATTTGAAAATCGTAACAGGTTATATTCCATCTTCCTTTTCATATCAACTAAATTATGAACTTCAATCGGGATTAATTAAATGCGTTAATTGTAATCTGCTGAATATAATATGTATATGATAAACAAAATCCGATTCGCCTTTCTCCAATGTGAATCATTTCAAATTTTGTACAACTCTACCTAAAAGCGTATAATATGTTCTTTCAGTAAACGATTCGAACAGCAGCCTCGTCGAGCAATCGATGAACGTAACATCGGCGGCGAAATCTGTCTCGACATCGAAATCTGTGCAGAGCGTTCAGACGAAGTCAGTCGTGGAGTCGTCGACCTCGGTTAAATCCGTCACTTCCTCCTCCACCAGGTCCCAACAATCGATGGAGTACGAGGAGTCGGTCGAGTACAGCGATTAGTGCAATTGGAGTAACACGAATCCCTCTAATTACAAAAAAAAAACATCGACAAACGGGGAGAAACTAAGAACGTAATGAAATTCGGCTCGACTTGATTCGTCGTGTGTTCAAGGCTTCATTCTCGAACGAAAAGAGACCGTGTCGTTTTGACGTCGCTCGATTCATCCCTTTTCTCCCGCGGGACGGAATATTCGCGTATAAAAAAAAACGGCGGATCATTCGTAATGGTGAGCTTCAGAGGAATATTAAGGATTAAATTCCGGATGCTGTTCTCCAATTCGACCTCGACGATCAGGGTCGATGATCGCCGTGCGGGGCTGAAAAAGTCGAACTGACGGGTCAAGGCGTTTACTCATCAGGGTTGCGCACCGAAATAACGCGCCCGCCGCGCGCGCACAGCTCGCGCTATGCGACGAGATGATGCGACGCGAAGAAATACGACGAGTCAGAAGAGACGGATGGAGCGGAAGAAATTGAAAACGTGCGCGCGAAGGAACGCTCGCAAGCCTCTGGCCCTTATCCAATCGATGTGGTTCGCCGCCAAATAGCAAACCCGCCCCTTCCTTTTTCTTCCGAGAATTTTTCCCAACCGGCCACGTCGCTGTCCATCTTCCGAGCACGCAGATCGCTCAATCACGGTCGCGTCTCGCAACCTCACTCATTTATCTTTGTATAATAAAATTTGTAAGGCAATGCTATTGCGTTTCTTCGTTAAGCCTCTTCTCATTTTAATTACACAATTTCAAATTAACTCTCAAAATATTCGTACGTGTGCGTTACGTAAAGCAAAAACATGGCAGGAATCGCTCACCGATTATCTCAGAGCGTGTAGTCGTAAAATGTGTCTCTAAAGTATGTGCGTGCACATATTTTAGATAAAATAACTTGACATAAATTAATTAATGTAAACAACATAAACTTAACACTTTTACAAATTAAGGAAAATCTGCATTCAAGAATAAGAAGTGGAAAAGGTGGTAATCTCTCTCTCGAATTAATCATTTCATCCATGCATTAGTTCATGACTTAGGACCAATGGAGATAGCAAAGAAATTAGAAAAAGAATGACATTCGAGTACCACGTTATTATAAGAAATGAATTTTCAAATAAGATCTTTAAATTAATACGAAATTAAAACGCGTGGAGATTCTACACGGAGAGAATTTTCTCGTAACATTTATCCTGGAAATCATGTAATCGTGGGACAATGCGGCATTTCGTAGAATATTATAAGAGTTTTTTTAATTTTTACCATACATTTTACTAGTAATTATACTTAATACACATTTTACTAGTAAAATGTATGGTAACATTTCAAAAAGCTCTCATAAAGTTCTTTAACATTCCGTATTGTCCCATGATTACACGATTTTCGGGGTAAATTTCAAGAGAAAATTTTAAGAGAGAGAATACCCACCGTATTGTCCTACGATTACATGATTTTCAGGTTAAATTTTAAGAGAAAATTCTCTCCGTGTGCCCGCAACACTTGCCATAAGCGCGATAAAGCGTCTTATGACAACAGTTAGCAATGCCAATGATAAAAAGATATTGCAAAAGAAAATCATCGTAAGCAACTTTTATCCCACGTAAACCGCTAGAGTATCATATCTTCTCTCTCCCTAATCGTACAATACTATCACGTACAAGACTAAACTGACACGTGCGACTACAGCTCGATAGCAGGAGGAAGAACCGTGTCGGTCAGAGAAAATACGATTTAAGAGAAAGCAGATATCGAGAGTAGCAGGGCGAGTGAACGAGCTAGTCTGGCAGGAATGACTCCTTCTGAGATTAAATAGCGTTTCCAAGGCTCTGCGGGATGTGTATTAAACGACGGGGAAAGTTTTAGAGCTGTGCTAAGTTCAGCATAACGTACGTCCTCAAAATTCGTAGCAGGTAACTGTCTTGCGTGACAAGAAGGGGGAATGCGGGGGGGGGGGTGAGATCATAGCACGGCGGACGGGGAATTTCAATATCCTGTCGCTCAGGCAAACGGAAGAAATATACTTGTGAGGATACGGGATTTCACGGGGCCCCTCCGCGGGCCACGATTGCGGAGCACGGATTGAATGATCCGCAGGAAGCATTTGCTTCCATGTCCTGTGAGTGAGTTCCATGTTTTTCACGATTAATGTACAATCCTAAAAATCCATACAAACTGGAAGTGAAGCGACGTCCCTTCGGTCGTATGATATTTATTCGTGCTATACTCATAACAGATGAATATTTTACACGTGAGTGCAGCTTCATGAATCTGTACATTGGTCTACATGTTCGTGATCCTATATAAAAAATTTATTAATATAAATATTAAATAATGAAGAAATGTTAAGCTCGAGCTTAACTTTCTCGAAATGCATTAATTTGTTTTACAACATGGGCCGTCAAACTAACTACTGCAAGTTATAATAGGAAATAATTATAAAAAATAATTCTCCAATATACAGTATGTATATAATATATGTTAAATATATTAAAAAGATATGTTTAAATATATATAAACATATGTATATAGATATACAATTTGAATAAAATCTGCCGTTTCTTTTCCTCAATACACTCGATCATAAAAGCGTGACGCTGATTTAACCGAGATGAATCGCTTACAGGAATCGTCGCAAAAGCAGGTCACATACATCATCGAGACTACCTTCCAATGTCCGTTCAGAAGTCCTGCGCGATGGAAAGAAAGTGAATCGTTGGTGACTCGCCTTACGAGAGAGGTCATCTTTTACGTGACCAAATATTTGGATGACAGAAACGAGGTGTCATTTAAGAAGCTTGACACTCGTATAGGATCCTCCGTAAGAATAGATCTTCACGCCTGAGATATCTTAGCTAATTTCGTCATAAGCGACACGGATTTCGAAATCCATGGTTGTATCTAAAGATATACTCAAAAAATACTTCTTTCTTCTGATTATATTGTAATCTCTTTTCTAATATCCACAATCAATTTAATATAGTAAACCACGTGAGTATTGTTATGGATAAAAATAATTCACAGGATATATTTTGAGCCTCGAAGGAAATCCAGTGACAATTCCCAATATCTATCACCTGCTCTCGAATGCACATATCATAGACAATCCATCACACTACATCATAGCTAAACAAGATTGTTTTAGGCGAGTATATAATAGGAACAAGATACATCAATTAAAGAAACATCCAATGACGATAAGATCGATGTTTCAAAAATATCCGGCGAATATATAAGCTTGCGTTGAAAATTGATTTATCGACCCGAGAATAAATAAGAGAATTAAATAGCAATTTCGCTAATTGCAAACAGGACACGTAATACTCACTGACCTTGTTCTTGTAAAGGCCATTTATCGGAGAACCGTTATCGCACTTCACTTGTAGCCTTATCGGCGTGCCGAAATGTTGCTATACAATAAATATACGCCCCCATGAGCACGAATCTCCGTTTCTCTTATCGCGGGAATCGAGGGCGGACATTTCTTTCGGATATTTACGCTACATTATTTAACTTTGTCGCAATGCTAGACTTCGTAACTAAACTTCTATAGACTTTTAGCCTTAAAAAGAAATAATTGTATTATCAACAAAATCCGACAAAATTCCAAAAAGTGGACAATAATTGTGTTTCTCATCCTAAAATTTTTACATGTATTTCGAGAAAATTTTGTTTAATATGAAAACATTATATTTATTAAAAGTAAAATATTTAGGACCTCATATATGTTAATTTTTTTGTGATAACAAAGGTATATAATTTTTTAAATATAGTCTTCTAGAGTTTTTGAAGAACTACATCAACTATTCGATAGTCTTTACCATTAGATCTTTTTTGCATGCGCATCAGTATATGAAATGATATAATATGAAACTGATGCTCGAGTTGCGAAGTAAAAATATCTACAGTACATACATAAATCAGTACACTTTGCTCTTTTCGGCAGCAACTTTCGGTAACTTTACTTTGTCATCAATCAAACCCTATGTTGTTTATCGACCAACTCTTTGTGTTCGTGTAACCGATATGATGATCCGCATTCACATTCATGCTTCATACGCAAATATGACCGGTATAAGAATTTCAGGCGAAAATTTATGTGCGAATTATTTATAACCTCTTGAGTAAACTTTCTATTCTTCAAGTAAAATAAAAATATCAGGCGCAATACTTTCAATATGACTTATTTATAAAAGAACAAACTTATATTATTACAATATTTCCTACTAATTCGTCATTACAGTAAATGTAATAGAAAATATATCTTGGTATTCACTATCATTCTTTTAATTGTTTAATTTTACAAACAAGGTCAACTTTTAAATGATAAAACATGAGATACAAAAAAGTTAACTCGACAGATTTTTCCTTGGTGGGACCACATCTACATATTTCATAAGCACCCAACATTAGAAGAAAAACCTACAGTCTCCAAGATTCTAAGTTCCCGAGTGACATATTTATATTGTCACAGTGCCCGATACGCATGAAAAGGTTTTTCCAATTCATGGGAGCGAGCCTGTGACCTTTTCAGTTGCAGCTTATTTATGAGAATTATTCCGTTCCCGATGTGATTCGCAAATAAAAATAATCCAGCGGTAGACTGGACTCTCCGCGCAATTTTCGCGTAACTTGGTAGAGCGGTCCGCTGTTGAACTCGCAACTCGCTTCGTTTAATTTGCTAAGTGGGGAGACATTAAAATTTGAGTACCGGAGATTTATTATGAGAAACGTCGGTGATGGTACTCAGGAAATAAGAAGTAAATTGATACGCGCGCTTTAAAGTGGAGCGATTGAAGTTAAATCGAATAAAAAGTTTATCGCAGAAGCAGCAATCTGTTCATTTATTCCACCTCACAAGTTAAGTTCGTTAAAATTCTTACTGCGATGCATATGATTTATGGCGGAAGCGCGTAAATTAATACTTCATTAGGAAACTGTTTATAAGATTCATATCGGAATAATAAATTAATATTAACCGAAACTTTTCGTTAAGAAGTACTAATATAAATTAACATTCTGCGGCTTCGAGAAGAAAAATTTATATTATAATTCTGAAAGTAAAATAAAGTTTTAATGCTTAAGATAATCTGAGGCTCGTAAACTGTTACCAGTGGTATTAAAAGACATGGAAAAATTTCGCTGATCCACCGCCTTCTTTTGGCAAAAAACAAAAAGGGAATTAGAACTGTCTAACAAGATCTTGCAGAATTAAACTCCCCCGATACCCGAACTCGCAAAGAATTTTCCTTCAGTTTCGTTTCACTTGCGCGCCTCCCCAAATTAGTGGCATCAAACAAAGAGAGAGGGAAAGAGAGCGAGAGAGAAAATCGGAGGATACGGGACAGAAAGTATTTTGTCGAAGGCAATATCGTGTATTTGAGATTATTATGTTTTCACATCCATCTTCCATCGCGACGCTATAAAGCTTCTCTTTGTCAACGTATCCCTCCTCTGCCCATCGTTGATTTCATTTTTTTTCCACGTTCAGAAAAGCATACGAGACAAGTGAGACGCTTCGTTTCGTTCAGCTTCCTGAATCAATATTGACGTGGAAACGAGAAGAAGTAGCCGGTTTTTGATGTCAATATTTGACCTCCCTACATCCAAAAGGAACATGTGTGCGACAAATTTAAATATGCATGTTCATTTTGCCGAGATATTACACCGGGGTATCATTTCGTAAAATGCAAAACGCGATCAAAAATTCTAAATGATATTATCTTCGTAAAATGTTTGAATAGCTTGTACAGACTGTTTTAACAATAGCGCCATTATCAAAAGATGTCTGAACACAGCTTAAATAAAATAATTTATCTTGAGACAATAGTAGCGAGTGGAGATAATGTAATATATGTAATGTAAATACATAGACTTCATATTCAGACGTCTATAGAAATTCTTGCAATATTTTTTAAACTTTACGCGCGGTATATCGATAGCTAATAGCTAAATAATTTTTCAGATGCAGATGTCAAACAGTATTAACAACTCTGCGTCATGAAAAACGAAGTATAAGAGATGTTATCATCTTTAATCAAGTCTCTAACTTTTTCAGAAATTTCTTTAAAAGTTAAACTAAAAATCTTAAATGGGAACTTTATAAATCATAGTTATCTCTGGTACAAATCTAAGTATAATATATATATGCGCGTATATCTTGGATAAATATATCTCTGATAAGACATACCTTCCGCGAAATAACGCAGGACACACTCACGTGGAGAGTGTACGATACATTTCAAACATCAATATATTTTCCGGCAATATCTTCCTGCGGCTTACCGTAGGATCCAGTAGTCGTCTATCGCATGTTATATGTTCTCATATTTCGAGCTACATAAATATCCACCTCTGTGAAGCTTAGACGCTACGAGGTAGCAGCGCACGGAGCGTGAGGAGAGCAACCGAGTTGAAGTATAATTTACCGGTAATGTTAATTTATTCCGTCGCGCTTATTGACATCCTAGAGAGACACGGTCTGGCGACTCACCTGCTACTGTTGACGGAGGTGTTGCTTCTGCTGCGTCTGGAGATGATGGAATCACCTCGATTCACGACACCCTTGTGAGTGATGCTGAACGCCCTGAGTCTGTACAAGTCGTCGCTCGCCCGAGGATTGTACGCCTTTTCCGGTAGGCTGTGCACACGAGGTCGTATGTGATCCGGTACTGTAACGTAATTGGGGAAAAAAATAGAAAATGTTTCAATAACATTTACAACATAAAATTATGCATGTATAATATGTTGAGCTTAGTAATGACGCTTAATACACTAATAATTATGTCCAGAGCATTCAATAAAGCAACAAATTTTAATTATTTCAAGATCAAGGTACGACATACCTTTATGTCGAGCTCTTTTTTCATACAGAAAAAATTATTCATACACGTCTCTACGTAATGTTTAAGGATATTAATAATGTAACTCTTTTTACATCTTGTTTAAATACTCTGGGAAAAAAAGACAGCAACCCATTTTGGGGCCCACAATTAGTAACCAAAATTTCGACCGCTTGTTTTTGTCGTTAAGCAACTTAACATTTCGGTTAGTGCCTCTTAAGTGAAAATGATCTTCGCGTTACTGGATATCGACAGAACTAATTGAGAGAATTGATTAGTATTACTTAAAAATCTTGGATATAGATGGAATAGCTAATTGCGATTTTTAGTTACGCGAGGTAAAATTCGTAAAAGATTAGAGTTACGAACAATCCAAATGATTGGATTACTAATTGTGGGCCCCAAAATGGGTTGCTAACTGTCTCTTTTGCCCAGAGTACGCGAGTGATACGAAGAATAGTTGCGAATGTTATGCGTAATATGAGAATAATGGTATAACTTTATCGATGTTTAAGAGTGATTACTGGGAATAATCGAAAGCGTATTGCGGGGTTTGGTCCTCGCATGACAAACGGCTTCTGGTAGAATTACAATCAGCGCTGATTGACCTATAAATTGATACACGTTGACAGCTAATCTGCGTTGCGTGTAGCACAGTACAGATGTAACCGTTGTAAAATCCGGTACTTAACACGAAACGTACCTTTCCGTTCTATTCGACCGAGCTTGTCAATGCAACGCAACGTAATCACTTAGCTAAGGCGAACACTTTGTTGTGCAGATGGCAGGGCCGACTTTTGTACGACGTTATTACGCCGCTAACACGGCTAGATAAACGACAACCGATGGTAGCTGAACCAATATCGCCCAGTTAAATATTCAATTCCATTACCGAGCGACATCGATTCAACGTCCAACTATATATTGCACGGCAATAATTTCAGTATGCAACTCGAGTACTGTCGTTATCGCACAATTACTAGGCAAACATGGGAAGCTAGATTTTCATCGGGAAGATATTAATTATTAGCAAATCGTTCTAATTCGTTTGAAGGCTCTTCGTGTAATTCGCTTTTGTGTCAAATACGTGACTGAGACAACAGTGTATTAATACGTGAATGTACAAACGCCGCGGCGGTAGTAATACGAGAACAGAGTAAGTCAAGACGGAAGGGACAGACATACAAATGAGGTGCCGTACCGAGTCCGTTTCCTTCCAAGGACTGCCATTTCGCTTGAATAACGAAGACGAAGGGGGTCAGTTGGAGTGAGCGACCACTCGCCGTAATTTGTCATCTGAAAGTGTCGACTGACTCGGATGATTAAACGGCGAGGAAAATTGCTGTGGCTTCTTCAACGTGGGAAAAATTGTCGCGACGACATTTGACGACCATGAATTTTGCCCGTGCAAATATCGTAACGATAGCGTGTAGTGTACATTATACATAACCAGTTACCTGCTATAATGAGATACCGCGTCAGTGGATCCTCGCTGCAGACAACTCTGCGCGAGTCACATATACCGATCAATACCTTTCCCAAATAAATAAAATGTATTATTAACCAAGCGCGAAATTATTGAATTTTTGGACGCGAAACTTATGACAGTTTTCGGGACGTATCGTCAATAAACTCATATTAAATTGTACATTGTATAACTACAATATATTATTCAAATACAAAATTAATCAATTGCGATGTACTCAGGAGCGACACGGACATATACATATATTCGCTATCCTCAGCCTCAAATATAAATTTACTTGTAACAAAAATTTTAGTTACGACCGAAAGTAAAATAAATCTCGCATTATATAACTTTTTTGTAATCTTTCGACATATCGAAAAGTTCCTTCGAAGTTAGAATTCTGTTCTGAAAGAAAGCTAAAGATCACTCGATGTTACACAGAGGCTCAAAATTTGCTTTCGCATCGCTAAAGTTTAATTCACGAAAGTCTCGAAACTTTTATTAAAGGTATTTCGTAAGTTACATTTGCATCAGAGGCACATGTTACTTTTCTTCAAGGCAATCAGCTGTCCCAGGGCGAAATTCCAATTTAAAGAGTTCTTTGAATTATACATTCGACTGAACTAATCGAGACGCATTTCTCAGGGTTCGAGATCTCATCCTTTTGTCAAGACCAACCGCTGGGTCAAGTAAATGTACTCACGGAGGAGGAATCGATCGAAGGCCGGCCCAGCTTCGCAGGTATAATTAAACCGCCGCGCTTATGACCGAAAACGAGCTCGGTAGACTCGTTTCCGACTTGCATGGTTTTCCGAATGAATAGCATTACGATCCGGAAGAACCGGTCTGTGCAAGCGACCGGTCATTAGCGATTTTTAACAGAATGATTTATAGAATCGTTTGTTATCTTTACGAACCACGCGAGTTATCTGTGATATACACCCGACCTTATGTATTCTCGTTTAGACTTTCTCCGCGCGATATAAAAGTGACAAGAGCAAAGCGATTAATATTAATAAGCGCAACCGGCTTATCCTGCTCAAAGCTAGTATAGACCTTAAATCCGTTTGTGCTTTTGCAACGGCGGCTTCTGTTGGATTTACCTCGCGCTAGAGAAGCACGTCATGATATGTGCTTCTCGATGTTTTCGTTAAGAAAATAGTAGATTTTTATAACATTTATCAAATTTGCACCTATTTTCTTAAAGCATTAGACTGATCACGCGATACAACGAAAACTAAGCACTTTATATACATGCTTTTCTTTAAATTAAACGCTTCCTGTTATTTAAAATTTACGTGTTTAATTACGTGCGTTTCATTTCAAAATTATCTTCGGATTAATTTAAATTCATGTCTGTCGTTTCGACTGGATAAAATTATTCTGAGCAGATAATTTGGTTCGCTTACTCTTCAAACTTCTATAATAATATCGCAATCTCAAAACTAAAACTACAAATCCTGAAATGTTTCTCGTTTCTTGTCTGATATAATATTTAAAAAATTAAAAGACTTTAATTATACTAATTTGTATATCAAATCAAGTAATAGGAAAATTCAATTAAATAAGCTCATAACTCATATTAGTTTTTAAATCATGTAACAATGTAAACGATAGATTTACAAGTTTTGCAATTAGTAAGGAATAAATGTTGCTCTTTATATAATATGATTTTTGATACAACGAAAAACCATCTAATTTCTTAACGATAAATTTAATAATTTGCAAAAATATCTCTTGCAAACAAATAGCTTTCCGTTTGTTTTCGTAAATAATTTTTATTTTTGAATGCTAAATATAGCATTTTAAATAATTATAAATCGTTTATGGATTTTAATATGTGAATTCACTGACAACAACGATTTCATTTAAATAAAAATGTTTTATGTCTAAAAAGAAACCGACGCGCAGGACAAGATGGAAAAGGGAATATAAATTCACATTTTAGATTACAATTATTTGGTTACCAACATCTTGCTCGGACCTAAAGGCGCTCTCGCTTGTTTGCTTTATATCATAATAGCCTATTTAAGGTTACTTTTACTTTAAATTGTTGATAAACAAAATTTATTGTGTATGCGTGCGATTCGTTATATTTATTTTCGAGTATATGCGTTGTTTTGCTCACCGGAATATATTTTTATTTCAGAAAGTTTCATTTTTTTTGTAACATCGCTCTCGTATTTGCCATTCTCGTGATATATTATTTCCATACTTGCCTTTGAGAATTCTATTTGATAACTTTATATTTGTGAAAATCGCATGTCTGTATGTATCGAAGCACTTCAACTTTTAATTTAATTATAATCAACGAAACACTCAAGAAGTTCCGAGCTTGGCGGGTCTAATTACATCAACGGCATCACTGAAAGTTAGCTTTGGAAGATAGACTTTTTGCCGGAATAAACTGTACACATTACCCATGACAAAAAGCTTGTAGATTACGCGCGCTCGGATATAAATTAATCATTTAATTAATAAAATTGAGATTAAACACACTTTATACATCCTTTGTTATGAAGATTAAAATAATTGTCGTATTATTTAGGGATAAAGACTACATGAAAAATCAAAGACGAATGAATTCGTATGAAATTATGAAATACGAATAGAGTACGTTGATACATTTTTCTATTGCATGCTAAATCTCTGCAACAAGTCCGATAAATCTTCAAATATTTCGGATAAATAAATAAAGCGATATAAAAATCCATAATAATTTACTTATGTTATTACATTTTATGACGGCCAGGACTTCGCATATTATATTTATGCTGCCGAAATTCCATTACGTTAAAATTTAATCCCAAGGAAGAAGAGGGTTCCCGAGAAACATTGAATAATAGAACGAGTTTCGACGAAGGTAAGGAATTAAACGACAAAGAGAAAAAATCTTTTCAAAGATTCTCGCGAAGGAACAAGGAGCCTTCTTAAAATATATTATTTGATTATACATTGTCCTAGTTGTTGAAAGAATTTTTCGAAGAATGGAAAAATTTTCTTCCTGAAAAACGTATGATTTTTAGAAATTTCATGCGCCGAGTTTTACGTTCTTGAATTTTAAATATCCTGAGTCTACACGAACCATTGAAATAATATTATATGCAAGATTCTCCAATATTTCAGAAAATATTAAAATCTCATAACACACAAGACTGCCGATTCTTTGCATTTTTATGTTCTTTAAGTTTTAAATTTATAAATTTTGCAAAAAAGTCGCTCTTGAGATTTGGAAATTCTTAGATTGCATTACTCTTTAAGTTAGCCTATTAGTATATTAAGTCTGTTTTATCAAATACAAGAATTATATTCTAAATAAAGAAAACTCCTAGATAATTTCATGATAAATACTGAAAGAGACATTTGAAGAAGCGACATATCTTCACTATTTTATCACTAAACTCACTAATTTGTCTCATTTCATGTTTTAACTTACGACAGTAGATTATATTATAAATTACAATGTGGTAAGAAGCGTCATTATTAGAACAAAATATTTTCTATACAAAGACAACGGGGAGATAATTAATTTCAAGTTAAAATAACAGTTTTAGATACTTACAATTAGATAATCTGACAATTTCATGCAGTTTCCAAATTACATCTGGGTGGACGGCTTGAAAAAACTTATCGGTGACGATCAGATAACTGGCGCATAACCGAGGAGAAAACTCAATAAATGAAATTACGCCCAACAATTTAAAACATTTTAAATCACTCGCGACTTTTAAATTGATAAGTGCGCTATTAATTTATATTAATTGAAAAAGTACGCGGATATTAACAGATACCGGTGGCCACCAAGGTGAAAGAAATCGTTATTTAGTGGCGAATTAAAACGATATACGGCGCTACGTTCGACGCCCGAAATTCCAAGAACTCCCGCGACTGATAAGCCTTAGTAATCGACAAAATTTTAAACACAATCCAAAAATAGCCACATTAGCACGATTTAGACGTTTATTCGTGAAATGTCACAATTCGCGGAGTTGCCTAACGGCGAGGGATTTAACCGAGCGAAATTAATTTCGCACTTCGCGCACGTATTATATTAAACTCAATATTACTGCCTTAAACTTCGAGTGCGGTGAGTGATTAATTAAAGCATCGCGGACGCGGCGAGCACAACGGGGCACAACTTTTGCCGCGGAAAATGAACTTTAGACTTTCAGATTGCGCGCCCCGTCGTATCTCAGAGTGTAAACGCACGCTTTTCCGTCGCACACTCGCCCCCGCGAGAAAAAGCTCGAATAAATGAATCTTATCCTCTCCCCCCCCCCTCCCCCCGAAATAGCTCGAAAGTAGGCCACATTTGGAGACTAATTTCGCGCCGGTTACGAGACGATCCCTTTGTTATATCAACTCATTACGTTGTAAGTCTGTCCCGCATACAGGCACAACACTTCACACGTCTCACGTGTACACGTTTATTAATACGTAATTGCCTCACTTAGTCGCTGTTAGAACGGGGAGCATAACGTGTACTACGTTTACATTTAGTACCAAGTTTAGCATGGGGCTCGAGACTTTTGGTTTATTAAGCGCGGTAAGGATTAGCGGGGCGATTAAGTACTACTTTACATTCACGTGATATGAAACGCGCGGGACAATAATGAGGCGACGGATCGCGTAAATGAGAATAAATAGCGTATTAATTCTCCGTCACGTCGCGCTGCTACGCCGCGCTTCATTCGGGATGCGAAATGATACAGAAGAATAGGGGTAGTATGTCAAGGGTGATAGTGCGCTCTCTTTTCCTTTTTCTGTCTCTCTCTTCCCTTGAATCTGCATAATGCGAGTCCAAAGTAAGTGAGCGGGAATATAAAATTCCAGGGAGTAGATGTCATATATGTACAGATGCAACGTGTGTATCGTAATAAATAAAAATGAAAGTGGAAGTTAAAAGATTTAACGTCGAGTGAAATTCATTTCCGAGTAAAAGTTAATAAATTCACAGGATATGTTCGTAAAATGTATATAATGACATTGACTAGTGCGTACAATCTGGAATATTGACAGCAAATTTATTAAAAAGTCATTGAAAAATAAGTAATGGATTCGAATCGATACATCAGGCTACATTCACGCGCGAATAGATTGAAATATTATTTTTAGCAACCCAAGTGTCCAACGCAGAGCTGTAAACGATTTTATTATCATTTCGCGAACCATCACGTTCGAATAAACAAATCAAGTCCAATTAAAATCTATTATTGAAATGAACTGGCAGGGGGAAACCGGTGACCAAAATCTTGTACGCCAATCTAATGCCCAGTGAGCATTACTTTATCTTATTATCTTATTTTATCTTATTTTATCTTTATAATGCTCCAGCAAGGCTTCATACCCAAACTAATGCCCAAAAAATGCCTAGCAATGTCCAGTAATGCCGCGAATCTGTACACCACAATGCCCTCAGCGGTTTCCCCCTCGGAACTGTCCTTGCGAAAAGAGTAACAATGTCCATAAAAAGTCAAGAAGTAAACCAAAGAGATAAATGTAATATAATCAATTGATCTAATACAATATGAGTATTATTACAATTTCATTTCAGTTACACTTTCGTATCCTGCAAACGATCCAGACTGTTTATACGTCGTAATTATCCGTAAACGTACTAACAGAAATGTCGCTGATCGACGTACTGAACAAATATCCAGCCATGATTGATGCTGCAGATTACTCGACGTATTTGGATTTCAAACATGAAAGCTATTGTCGGTCTCATATTGAACGAAATCAATTCAGTCGCTTCAGATATGAAGGCAGGTCTAGTCAGAGGTCGTGCAGCTTTCCACAGAATCTAAATCTGCTGTGTACGCGTGTGTACGCGTAAATTAAAATATTGCTCAATTAATTATCAGTGCGTGAATTCGCTCTTTGTATTTCGCAAATAATGTTACTCGACTGAATTTACGTTGAACGGCAGTCTACATCGTACTCGGTGCTCTTATTAGCATTCGGAGTTCCGTAATTTTTCTACACGGGCTTATTACCGACGCACGCGATGTCACAGAACAAAACTTTGTTCGCTCCATGCATCGGCATAATAACCCGCAGAACATTTATCTCACTGTCGCCGACCTTGCCCCGGCGAGCGACTATGCATTCGAAGTTTTAACCAGGCCAAACGCAACTATCGACGTCAGCGCACTTTCGATAAGGTTCCACACGTGTACACGGAAAAAGTATGCCAGACAAAGCAACACCCGAAAACTATCGCAAGCTGTAGAAAATCGCGTGAATAACTTCCACACGACAGTGAAGTGAAACGTATCGTATGAAGCAATTCACGTGGAAGCTCTCGCTAAATAATAATTAGACAGTGTGTGTACCTAAAGAATTGTATTTTTTTTCAAAGCTTTTTAGAACTTTTTTACTAGCTACAAAATAGAAAGCATCTTAAACTTTGCTAAGAAGGAAATATGACATTGCTATAAGATACCAAAGAAGATGATGCAAGACAGAAAGAAAGTGACCATAATTAGTTAAAATAACAGCAAAGTTTCTTTGCAAAGTAAACCCTTATCTTTCATGTTGTTTTATGCAACATTTTGCCACGTAAGAAAACTAATTAGCGGATAACAAAATTTCACACGGCTTTAGATTTTCTATATTAGATCCAACAGTAAATTTTATATATAAAGCAACGCCTCCTCTTTTTCTCTCTTCTCCTTCGTCTCCTTCTTCTCATTATCTCGCTTTCGCTCTCTTACAAATTATAGATCAAAGAAAATAATTTACATTGATATATAGTTAATTGTTATGATTATATTCAGTTTATATCATAATTCAAAGGTTAAATTAAAAACAGATTTCTACATCGGACATATAATAATGAATAAAAAAGGTCAAGTCTCATATACCTCTGTAAAAGGTATATAATATAATATAACACCGCGGTACACACAATTGTGCAACGCAACGTGATTTCTATACACTTCAATTTACCATACCATAACTATTTCGTTTTCTACTTAATAATATCATAAATACAATCTTTCAAACCGTTACTCGTCATAATCGCTGCTTCAGTTAATTTTCGAAATTTGGTAAACTTAAATTTCCAAATATCGAATGGCTACATAAATATAATAATTGTAAATCTACTCACCCGGCAGCTCGAGAAAATTGGAAGTTCTTCGTTGCCGGCCTCTCGGATGATTGCTGAAATTCAATGGCCCCACATCTTCATTGGTAACATTGGACACGTTCGAGCACTGACTATCGCGGGAGCCGCGTCTCGACGCCAGATAGGCTGCAACACACTCACGCACGAGAGCTTCGTGAAAAGTCAGTCCAGTGAAAACGCAGCACGCAATGTTCGAGGGAGATGTTCAAAGGTAAAACCGCATCGCGATACTCTATACCGTTTTTGTTACACAGCATACGCGGACACGAATACGTGAATATATCGTCGGATAAACGTGGCGTTTGAAAAACCACTCATCGTCGTGCTGTGCCCGTTAAACTCGCCCGTAATTCGCGAACGCTCGCGAGAATAAAGTTTCAATGCGAGTAAAGTCTCTTTTCGAATTGATCGTAAGGGGTGAATTTCAGAATCAACGTTTCTGATTGACAATATAGAGAAAAGCCCTCTATTATGAGAGTGGTTTCTAATATGAAATAGCAGGTTTTCAACAGCCACATTCAATCACAAATCTTTTCTCGCAACGCAATCCAACAATTAATTTTCCACTAAACAAGATTTCGCTCCAAGAGCAATAAATTCATGGTGGAATCAACTGATTACGCATATTAACTTAACAGAAATCCCCTAATATCCTATATTAGATCCTATCTCATAATAGGGGACCTTCCTCTACTGTTATTTACAATTTTACACGAGCCCTGTCCGATCGTATTCCCATCTTTCTAATGAAAGTCGAATGGCCAATGATTGAAGAGGATCGGAGAATTAAGTCTCAAGTGTATACCCCGGTTCTTTCATCCGGCTTCGTCTGAGAGCAAGAAGGTCCAGAAAGACATCAAAAGGCAAAAAAACGCAGTAAAAGGAACTTTAGCAGGTAAAAAAAAAGGTAAAAATACTCACAGACGCGAGAGAGACTCTGAGGGGAAAACGAGAGTGTCAAAATGGACGGCACCAAAGAGGGTGGGCCAGTTTTATTCATCGCCTTTACACGATGACGATCCGATGGCGTCGCAGATTTATGTTGAAAAGCAATTACCGGAGCCTCTTGCGCGCGCACGTGCGCGCACATAGATTTCGGGTGCGCTAAGCGCGTACATTACAAAACCTTCATTATACCCACATTAACGCGCGTTATGGATTTTCATCGATAGGAGAGCACTCAGTCGGATTAAAAGAGCAAATGACTCGTAGGCCGCGAATTTCGACGTGGCGAAATCCCAAATTTCGTTTCTATGGAGGCCAATTATCGGCGGCGCGTGTGCACGTGCCCGGGGTTATTCACGTGCCGTGTGTCGCCGTAATTCTCGTTTTCATCCAAATCGACCCGCATCCAAATCGTTCGCTATAACGAAGAAACCTTTAATGCCCCCGCGATATTTCGCGCAAAAAATATCCCCTGCAGCCGCGATATTACGAATTAGAACGCGAAGCAATTTATATTTTATTAATATTCAAAATTGCGTTTCACTCAAATACATTATATTATTACAATACGCTGTAGTTATTGCTCGCAAACACGAGTATTAATAATTAAAAAATGCAATTAATAACAAAAAAAACTGTAATTACAGTAAAGTAATAACCAATTTTTAAAATTATAGAAGAACAGTAATCGGGAAGGTTTAATCGTCACAACAGGAAAACGATGAAGAGCCATTAATAAATTAGAGACCTTTAATGTTAACGGCATTAAATTATTTCAAAATTACGAAATTCGAAACGCATTTCGTGCGTTTAATACAACATGCTTGGCTTTTGCATGTTTAATGTATAACATATTGGCGCGACACAATAGCATTTTCAATCAACCGACCCTCGTCAAGGAAACAAACGTTTCATGGCGCTCGAGAACATCGGCCGTTGTTTATTACCGTAGGAGATGGAGGACTGTAAGGATGGGAGAAACTGTTGTAAATGAAGATAAAGCTGGTTCGTAAATAAGAGAAAAGACTCACCGAGACCGCCCTTCATCGAGCCTCTTCTTCTAGGGCTGGATAATAGAGTGATCTCAGTATCGGCGTCACCCATATCCGTCAAATCGCTGGTAGATCGTCGGGACATGTTCTTTCCGCTCCGTCTGCGTTTCGTGCGCTCGTTCGAGCCCTCGCAATGACTCCGACCAACCTCGTCGAGGCATCCCTGGCTCTTGTTAAAGTGCCCGCCTGTTTTTGCGCTTCTTGACCTATCGCCGGCCCCCTCGCCGGGCTTCTCCTGCAGTCCTCCGGGATGACTTTCCAAAGAAGGACTCTTGCCTGGGCTATTACACATATATCCCGCGATCTCCCTGCTGGCATCTTTTTGGCCGAGTTCCGAGTTTCGACTCGCCTGCGGACTGGTCGCTTCGTGCGACGTCGGAGTTACGATCGTGGGCGACATAGGGCTGTTGAGGCTCGCCAGGCCGAAGGAGTTCCTCCGCCGGTCGAAAAGCTGCGGGCTTCTCGCGCCATAACCGGACGACGAGTTGACCGATCTACTGCGATCGGTCATCAATGACGAGGTCCCCGATGCCGGATAGCTCGCGGCCTGCCTCAAAGTCTTGCGCGGATCGCAGAACTGGAAGATGGGGGACCTGCGGCCGGGCGAGTGCAGTATCTCGCTGTTGGGAGTCTTCGGGCTCCGCGGTGGGACCGGCGTGGTGCGGGAGTAATAGCTGGGACTCCTGGAGCCGCGCTGCTGCTCGTGCTCGTCGGCGCGCCCGAACTCGTCGAAGTCGAAGGTCGTGTTGGGTGTCTCCGGGTAGTACTCGGGCGGGAACTCGAAGACCCGCGGAGTGCCGGGCGACTTGGCCAGCGATTGACCCTGAGTCGGGCTCCGCTGTTCGGCGATCGGCACCTGCTGCTGGAGACGAGGAAGCGCCGGCAGCTGCCGCGGACTCCTCGGGGATTTCAGATGGATCGATTGTCCGGGGCTGTTGGTTGCCATCTCCGCTACGGTGTCCCTCTGACGAATTTACTTTCCTCCCGGATCGCGTTATCTCCGACGATTCAATGTCCCGGGCCGGCTGTTTATCGGGAGAAGCTCCGCAGCTTCGTCACTGTCGCATCGCAGAAACGACCGCCGTCGGTTGTGAGGCTACGCCTGTAAATTGTTCTGCGACCGAGCACGGCCACTCTTCTCATTTCAGCGGATTTCACGGCGGTTTCGATTTCGCAGATGAGAAGTTAGTGCGGAACAAGTGCGGTTTTGGTTTTGATTGTCGTCTTGTACATACACGAATCTTCCCGACTGTCAAGCACGAGAATAAGATTTCGTTAAACCTTTGTTAAGAGCTTGCGTTAAATTTTAGCCAAGAAGCGCGTAATTAAATTTTATAATTATCATTACGAAAGGTTATACACGTACAGAATACATACAAAAAGTTCTATAGCCATTAAGTTTTTTGCATGCAGCAGAATTGAGGGATAAAATACGCCTGGGAAAAACTTTCGCGTATTATAGTACACTCACTTGACAAAGATTCTCATTTTAATCGATTTGCACGTCTCTAAAACTTCAGCTCTTCTTAGTAAAGAGCTTAAGAAGAACTCCCGTATATTATTCTTATTTGACAAAGATTCTCATTTTATTTGGATTTGCGCGTCTCAAAAACTTTAGTTGTTCTCACGAATCAACTCAAATACGAATTAACTCGAACGGAATTAATTAAACGAGAAGTCACTTTCTCTTATATTGAATCGATCGCTGATTAATAATGGAACGATGAGATGCGATGCCATTGTGATATAGCGCATGACCTATAACCGCAGGGTTAAAACGCACCTATGTCAAGTTCACGATCGAGTGTTTGCCCTGAACGCGTACATCGATCCAAATAAAATAGAAAAAAGAAGCATAAAGCACTTTAAATTATTACACTCTCCCTCTCTCTCGCTTTCTCTCTCACTGTCATCGCGACTCAAGCCAAAACAAACTTGTCAAATACAATATTCAATATAGGACGACAAGCTCGTTTCAAGGAAACAACGGTCGGGGGAAGCAATTTACCGAAGGAACGTTTACGTAAAATCATTTTTCATTTCAATCGAACAGTTAATAGTTACTCGCTGTTACAAGGAGTTATTAGGAAGTACAGTCGCGATGAGAACTTTGGATCAACGAAGTATCGTTCGATCATTGAAAGCCATTTTCCAAGCGTCGCACAGCACGAGGGCGATTCATCTAGACGCAGCCTATGCTGTCTCTGTTCGAATTGACGATGTAGGCGATATACAACGCGCGTGTCGACGACGCAAGGTAAACAGGTACGCGAGTAGACGAGATTATTGGCCGAAGCGTTACGCCAGTTAGCCAACTAGGGATTAACCTGTTGAACGTCGTAGTCACAAAGAGTTGCCGTCACGCTGTCTAGCTGCGCCGAGTCGTCGGACGGTGACGTCGCGACGCCGGAGACGACTTTGGCGGCGGGACCGGTGGTTCCGCTGATTAAGGACACTTCCGGCCCCCCAAACAGGCAGAAGACACAATTTGTTGTAGACCGAATTTTGCGTCGTGAGGAGAACAAGTTTCGATGCCTCGAGGTGCCACCTCGGCGATGGCCGGCGTGCTACTGAGGGGTTGCAATGTGGAAGCCACCCTCGCGCCCGCTTCGCAGCTGCCGCGGACCACCCCTCCCGCGTCGTCACGTTCACTGGGGGCTTTGTTGTTCTCCCCGCACGTGCTCTTTCAATAATTTCGTATTCACCAGACGTTATAATTTTCATCGCATTCACCGGACGTTGATGATTTTCATCGGATCTTGGCGAGTTTAATATCATATCCTTTCGTTAGAATTTATCGTTATACACGGACGAAATAGTATAACGAATTGTATTACCAACTTTAAATTGCGATAGTATCTTTTTTTTTAAATTACCATCCAAGGTTTAAGCTACCTAGTGAAGCTTGTGCCTTTCTTTTATTTAGCAAATACATTTTATGATAAAAACGTCTTATAAGACATACAACAAGTAAATAACTATGGATTGTATAGAGATGTATATCTTTGTAATTTTTATGTATATCTCTTGAAACCTGTCATGCGGAAATAACTTCTGTTACTTGTACACGCGATGAAATATCGAAATAAAAAAAAAGTACCATGTCAGACTTCAAGTCCGTAACTAACCCTTCTGCCAGCTTATACGGTATGGTATTCCCTGTCGATACCATCGAAACAATCTATCAAACAAAATTACGTTTGTGTTTACGCCGAAGGAAGCTACGAAGGCATTGCAGGCCTGATAGAACGGTGTCCAACAGGTAGACGTTTCGGTACATGCAGGCACGCGTTGCGGAATCTAATATTTGCCTCTGATGTTGGTCCAAACCCGTTTACCCAGTATAGTTCGACCTTTAATCAGTAAGGCACTACAGTAAGGCACTTTACGAGCTTCGCGTGGAGGAATTTGATTTGAGCCTCCCGTCAGTTTATAACATCGACGATTACCATCATTTTATAGGTACGTCAGTTTATAAGAGTTTCTTACAAAAATGCTCTTAATTGAGGCGGGGAGTTTTAATTGTTAAATAATTATGTGAAAGAAAAGAAGAGAGAAGGCATTACTTCAGGCCTAACTCGTCAAATATTTTCGGTGGACTGATAAATCCTGCAGAAAGAAAGATTATATCTCGTAAATTATTATTTAATATGTTTAAAATAATCACACAAAATAAAAGAAGTTATAATCTCTTTACTGTGCAAATTATCTCGATAAATTTATATATTTAGAAAATAACATATAAAAGTTTAATCACACAATTAAAAAAAATTATTCCAACAATGTTACTTTGTTTCAACTTGTTGGACAGAAAATTACTGTCATTTAATCAAACAACTGAATGCGTATCATGGAAATTTTCCGAACATTTCCATGATAGACACCTCGAGCTTTTCTACCCGATTCAGATATCATTCGAGTTAGTGAGAAGTTAGTAGTCTCAGAGATCACCAGATAGCAGACGCATCCAGTAAAAGTACCATGCAAAGAAATCTGTCATTCAAGCAGTAAACATTTGTTCTCTTACAGTCCACAAATATTTAAAAAATGAAACCTAATTGGATATATAACTAAATATCTTAGAAAGCTTACTTTTTATAATATTATGATATCAAAAATATAATATAAAATAGCAATACTATATTCATGTTTGATATTTACCGTGATGTTACCATATTATTTTCATATCACCCATTCATGACGAGTCAATCAAACCAGAAGAATGCAAATAAAAAATCCTAACTAAACCTACTTACATACTTTTTGAGCAATTTTAAACGCAATTCTAAGGATCTATAAATCATTTATTTGTTTATATCGATTAAAACAACCAAATGTCTTTTCTAATTCGTTACTTAACATACTTAACTTTACTTAACAGTGATCAATCGTACAAATTAAAATGCACTTTTTCGCTTGACAATGAAGCTGCGATGTTTTAAAAACGTTTATTTGTTTGTGCAAAATATCGAGCGACATAATGAAAGCAATTTGATTCTTTTAATCGATTAATTTTTTTTGCAAAAGAAAGTATGCAAGTACGAACACAGTAACGTCTTCTTAAGCCTTTTTATTATAGGAATTAATAATCATCTGGCGAATCGCTAACGTGAAAGGCTATAGTTATTTTATGTTTCACGTTGGCAAAACAGATTCTAAAGTCACTGAATAATAAAACTGACAGGAAAGTGGAACGGAGAAAATAAATATTTATGAATGTTTTAGAGACTTTAATTTATGTTTCTAATTGGCGAATGATCCTCGTCATTTTGCTATATAAATGTAAAGAATTCGCTTCATACAGTAGACACTCTCGACATTCTCGCTTGTCAAACTATCCTGTTTTAGCTTATGGCAGTAAGTTATCTGTAACTAGCTATGGGAAGCATATTCCAGTATGTTATATAACGCGATGCGCAGTAGCTCGTATCAGCCATGAGCCTCATTCTTTCTGTGATACTCCATTTCTAAACAATATAAACCGCTAGATTCTATAATAGAAAATATACATCTAAAACTTCGTGTTTCCTCATTCTTATATCTGTCTTATTGATAATGCACAAGTACGATAAACCTTGTATTAGTCACATCGAAAGAGATATTTGGAAGTGACACTTTCAAGAAAGTGATATCAGTTGATCTATATATCCTGGAGATATAATTCCTTTAACGTTCTCATGGTGGGGCACGTCGATACGAAATATCTCGATGTTCCCAAGTTCCTACATCGGTCGTGCAGCCATCATGCTGTATGTATGTCAACTCGATCGCGGAGCGAGACTGAGAAGTCTGTCCCGACTGACCAGTGTACTGCGATAGAAACATGGCATCGTTGAACATTTTTAACATTGAATTTAACCGGCCGGATGCTGTTTACATGCCCGGCGAAATCGTCAGCGGCTGCGTCACCATCAATCTGGCAAGGGAAAAAATTGCTGAAGGTAAATCATTCAGTTAATTAACTCTTTTAAAGATATCCATCGAATAAAACCATCGCAAAATTTACACGTGTAACCATGATCTGCGTAGACAATAACTATAGATCATCTGCATCTACATCTTTTTTACTTTTCCTTTCTTCTCCAATTTCAAGATATATTAAAAACATCGTATACAAAAAATCTTAAGTATATCTTAATATCATCTAAAATTAAAACTAGCTTTGCGAATCCAACCAGAAATACTGTAATGTATATTTGAAGGTCGCCTCGATGGACTCAGAGATTATCGATTCTTGGACTATCCAGTGATAACAGTGTGACGAACATATAGGCGAAAATTTTATCAATCTCAGAATTGGACACTTTGATAATGCATGGAATATTATGAGATTATTCTTGTGATAATTTTAGAACGAACAACATCTTTTCTGTATTTTTTCTGTATGTTTTAAACAGGTTAAACATAAATAAATAAATATGATAGTAAGAGTTACACCAAGTATATTGTGTTATAAACGATAAATAGCAAAAGAATTACATCCTAACAAACACGATAAAATTACTTGTCATTTTACCGTCAAAAACGTAATTTTTATGTCAAAATAACATCAGTCTATTTGCTGGGATATACATATTCAAATAATTCTATTTAGCGTTTTGCGCATAGTTATCTGTATCTATTATACACATTTTTTTTATAAAGAATACGGATTTTCTTAATTCCTTATTTTGTATGTAAAATGATCATTAATCTTTGCAGCACTAAAATTATCAGCTAGGGGGGAAGCTGACGTCAGATGGACTAAGAAAACGAGAAATCACTCTACTACTTATAGGGGGAATGAAAAGTATTTTAGTTTAACCATCATGCTGTTAGAGAGATTAGAAGGTTAATATTGTCAATTAAAACTCAAGCATATATCGTTACAGAAATTTTCGTTAGAATATATTAGTACAATATAATATAATATAATAATGAAATATATTATACTTGCACTAATAATTAGAATACGTGTATATTGTAACATGTATATTTAAGTGTAAAATAGCTAAGATATATTTTACTACGATCCACATAGAAAAATAATAAATTATATTTAGAGGCTACATTTAATATTTGATATATTAATTTCAGAGGACAAAAAAGTACACATCCCTGCAGGATTGAGTAAATATCCTTTTCATATCCAACTACCACATGACATACCATGCAGCTTCGAACAGCACTACGGTCATATCAGATACACGATAAAGGCGGTCATTGTTAGATCGTGGCGGTTCAATCACGAGTGCAAAGCTGTGTTCACCATAATTTCACATTACGACTTGAACATTCGTCGTGAGCAATGTGTGAGTGAAGTCGATCTTTTTAATTTATATTAGGATTTGGTACTTTCATATTAAAAAATTTCATAGACCAGAAAATACAAGCTAGCCATTTTATAGCCATATGATGAACAGTATTATTTAAACAATTGCATTGAAAATTAATGATATATTATTTATATTAGATCGGCATACACGATGAAATAAACCAGGCTTTCTCTTGCTGCCTCTGCTGCGTCAGCGATGGTTCGATAAATATGCATGTTAAATTACCGACGACAGGATTCGTTCCGGGACAATGGATCGAGGCAGGTTTCGATTTAAAGGATAATACCAGCACTGAATTCAATAAAATCTGCTTGAAACTACAGCAAGTAGGTTTGAAAATAATTGTTGTAACTAATATGTAATATTACCCTGGTCAAAATAAGAATCAGTGCGTAAATCGAGTGCAAGGGATGATTGACAGAGAGAAGCGTAAACGCGAAACTTTCCGTGTGCCTTTACGCTCAATCTATATGCTCAGATTTATTTTCATCAAAATACGTGAATCGATAAATTGGCCAGAATGTAAATTTTATTCTGTCCTGTGATAATTACCAAATTTTAATTTACGCTTACTAAGTCCTGCGAGTTTCGCGCGACTAGGTCCACTAGGCACGACAAAACAACTGTGGCATCTGTGCAAAAACTAGGACCGTTCGGTAAACGCGCTGTTTTCGTATTACGTTTACTTATCCCCTCGGTACCACCTTCGGAACTGGAATTCTGCGGTATCATTGACCTAAAATATATTCTACGTGTCGTCTTCCACGGTGAAATGTACGTATCTTTTAAAAGCTCAGTGGTAAACCAAATATATTGTAATAATCCGGCAATATTTTACGCCCTTGATGGTCATCCAATAACAATAGGTTGTCAATTTTTGTCTAGGTATCGCAAGATCGTCAAAGAGTATCCGATTGTAATTGGAACAATACCACTGCTGCCTGTGCCATCGGCGCCTGAAGCCCCGTCTTGTTCACATGGATCTACATCTCAGTCTACATCGAAAAACGGAGACATGACTGCAGAATCTGACATCGTATCTTATCCAAGTTCACCGTTGACGAACGAATTTCTTAATGGTATGTAAAATGCTCAGTACCGATAGACTCTACCAAAAATTTTTTTTCAATATTTTATAATAATATTTGTCTTTCTCTTCTTGTATAACGTTTTAAATAATTTATAAACATAACAAAGTTCTATATTTTATTTCACCAAGAATATTATTGTTCGAGTGATTTAAAAGAGTCAATATTTCTTTACGTATTAAAGTCGTAATCACAAGACCTTACGTGAAAAGTACTACGAGACTGTAATCCAAGCCAAAGTCGTCAAAGTAGATACAGATTAGGTATAAAAATATACAAATGGGTAAATGCTTTTGTATATAGCTCCTCCATCGTATGAAGAATCCTGTACGAACAGAGCATCTTGCATCAAAGATCACACGGAATCTGTATACGTGTATGGCGCTGACCAACCCTTTGCACCTAAATATCCAGTCTTCAAATTCCCTATTTCAGGTAAGACGATTATACTAATTAAGTCTTCTACTACTACATCTGTGGGCTGCACGTATTATCAATACTTTACTTGCAGATCCGCTTGAGAAATAGGAAGGTCATCTAAGCTGATAATTACACATACATCGAACTAAAAATATTTCCTATCGTTTTAAATTATCTTTGTATAATTTAAACCGTTTTAATCTGTAACCGAAAAAATGTTCCGAAAAATAAAAATGGCAAAAGCTGAAAACAATGGAATACGAAGAATAAAAATTATAATAAAAAATCGCAATTAGCTATTCTATCTATTGTACAAGATTTATAAATAATGCTAATCAATTCTCTCAATTAGTTCTGTCGACATTCAGTAACGCAAAGATAATTTTCACGTTTGCCGTCACGCTGTCTCGCTGCGCCGAGTCGTCGGACGGTGACGTCGCGACGCCGGAGACAACTTTGGCGGCGGGACCGGTGGTTCCGCTAATTCATCAAACAACTGAATGCGCATCATGGAAATTTTCCGAACATTTCCGTGATACACACCTCGAGCTTGTCTTTTCTACCCGATTCAGATATCATTCGACTTGGTGAGAAGTTAGTAGTCTCAGAGACCACCAGATAGCAGACGCATCCAGTAAAAGTACCATGCAAAGAAATCTGTCATTCAAGCAGTAAGTGTTCTCTTACAGTCCACAAATATTTAAAAAATGAGACCTAATTGGAAATATAGCTAAATATCTTAGAAAGCTTATTTTTTACAATATTATGATATCAAAAATATATAATATAAAGCAGCAACACTATATTCATGTTTGATATTTACCGTAATGTTACCATATTATTTTCATATCACCCATTCATAACGAGTCAATCAAACCAGAAGAATGCAAATAAAAAATCCTAACTAAACCTACTTACATACTTTTTGAGCAATTTTGAACGTAATTTTAAGGATCTATAAATCATTTATTTGTTTATATCGATTAAAACAACCAAATGTCTTTTATAATTCGTTACTTAACATACTTAACTTTACTTAACAGTGATCAATCGTACAAATTAAAATGCACTTTTTCGCTTGACAATGAAGCTGCGATGTTTTATTTGTTTTTGCAAAATATCGAGCGTAATGAAAGCAATTTGACTCTTTTAATCGATTAATTTTTTTGCAAAAGAAAGTATGCAAGTACGAACACAGTAACGTCTTCTTAAGCCTTTTTATTATAGGAATTAATAATCATCTGGCGAATCGCTAACGTAAAAGGCTAGTTATTTTACGTTTCACGTTGGCAAAACAGATTCTAAAGTCACTGAATAATAAAACTGACAGGAGAAAGTGGAACGGAGAAAATAAATATTTATGAATGTTTTAGAGACTTTAATTTATGTTTCTAATTGGCGAATGATCCTCGTCATTTTGCTATATAAATGTAAAGAATTCGCTTCATACAGTAGACACTCTCGACATTCTCGCTTGTCAAACTATCCTGTTTTAGCTTATGGCAGTAAGTTATCTGTAACTAGCTATGGGAATAGCACATTTCAGTATGTTACATAACGCGACGCGCAGTGGCTCGTATCAGCCATGAGCCTCATTCTTTCTGTGATACTCCATTTCTAAACAATATAAACCGCTAGATTCTATAATAGAAAATATACATCTAAAACTTCGTGTTTCCTCATTCTTATATCTGTCTCATTGATCTGCACGAGTGTGATAAACCTTGTATTAGTCACGTCGAAAGAGATATTTGGAAGTGACACTTTCAAGAAAGTGATATCAATTGATCTATATATCCTGAAGATATAATTCCTTTAACGTTCTCATGGTGGGGCACGTCGATATGAAATATCTCGATGTTCCCAAGTTCGTACATCAGTCGTGCAGCCATCATGCTGTATGTACGTCAATCTCGACTCGATCGCGGAGCGAGACTGAGAAGTCTGTCCCGACTGACCAGTGTACTGCGATAGAAACATGGCATCGTTGAACATTTTTAACATTGAATTTAGCCGGCCGGATGCTGTTTACATGCCCGGCGAAATCGTCAGCGGCTGCGTCACCATCAATCTGGCAAGGGAAAAAATTGCTGAAGGTAAATCATTCAGTTAATTAACTCTTTTAAAGATATCCATCGAACAAAACCATCGCAAAATTTACACGTGTAACCATGATCTGCGTAGACAATAACTATAGATATCATCTGCATCTACATCTTTTTACTTTTCCTTTCTTCTCCAATTTCAAGATATATTAAAAACATCGTATACAAAAAATCTTAAGTATATCTTAATATCATCTAAAATTACATTAGCTTTGCGAATCCAACCAGAAATACTGTAATGTATATTTGAAGGTCGCCTCGACGGACTCAGAGATTATCGATTCTTGGACTAATCAGTGATAACAGTGTGACGAACATATTGGCGGAAATTTTATCAATCTCAGAATTGGACGCTTTGATAATGCCTGGAATATTATGAGATTATTCTTGTGATAATTTTAGAACGAACAATATCTTTTCTGTATTTTTTCTGTATATTTTAAACAGGTTAAACATAAATAAATAAATATGATAGTAAGAGTTACACAAAGTATATTGTGTTATAAACGATAAATAGCAAAAGAATTACATCCTAACAAACACGATAAAATTACTTGTCATTTTAGCGTCAAAAACGTAATTTTTATGTCAAAATAACATCAGTCTATTTGCTGCGATATATTCAAATAATTCTATTTAGCGTTTTGCGCATAGTTATCTGTATCTATTATACACATTTTTTTTTATAAAGAATACGGATTTTCTTAATTCCTTATTTTGTATGTAAAATGATCATTAATCTTTGCAGCACTAAAATTATCAGCTAAGGGAGAAGCTGACGTCAGATGGACTGAGGAAACGAGTACGACAGATAGCAATGGAGATTCTACAACTACCTCTACTACTTATAGTGGGAATGAAAAGTATTTTAGTTTAACCATCATGCTGTTAGAGAGATTAGAAGGTTAATATTGTCAATTAAAACTCAAGCATATATCGTGACAGAAATTTTCGTTAGAATATATTAGTACAGTATAATATAATAATGAAATATATTATACTTGCACTAATAATTAGAATATGTGTATATTGTAACATGTATATTTAAGTGTAAAATAGCTAAGATACATTTTACTACGATCCACATAGAAAAATAATAAATTATATTTAGAGGCTACATTTAATATTTGATATATTCATTTCAGAGGACAGAAAAGTGCACATCCCTGCAGGATTGAGTAAATATCCTTTTCATATTCAACTACCACATGACATACCATGCAGCTTCGAACAGTACTACGGTCATATCAGATACACGATAAAGGCGGTCATTGTTAGATCGTGGCGGTTCAATCACGAGTGCAAAGCTGTGTTCACCATAATTTCACATTACGACTTGAACATTCGTCGTGAGCAATGTGTGAGTGAATTCGATCTTTTTAATTTATATTAGGATTTGGTACTTTCAAATTAAAAAATTTCTTAGACCAGAAAATACAAGCTAGCCATTTTATAGCCATATGATGAACAGTCTTATTTAAACAATTGCATTGAAAATTAATGATATATTATTTATATTAGATCGGCATACACGATGAAATAAACCAGGCTTTCTCTTGCTGCCTCTGCTGCATCAGCGATGGTTCGATAAATATGCATGTTAAATTACCGACGACAGGATTCGTTCCGGGACAATGGATCGAGGCAGGTTTCGATTTAAAGGATAATACCAGCACTGAATTCAATAAAATCTGCTTGAAACTACAGCAAGTAGGTTTGAAAATAATTGTTGTAATTAATATGTAATATTACCCTGGTCAAAATAAGAATCGGTACGTAAATCGAGTGCAAGGGAAGATTGACAGAGAGAAGCGTAAACGCGAAACTTTCCGTGTGCCTTTACGCTCAATCTATACGCTCAGATGTTTATTTTCATCAAAATATGTGAATCGATAAATTGGCCAGAATGTAAATTTTATTCTGTCCTGTGATAATTACCAAATTTTAATTTATGCTTACCAAGTCCTGCGAGTTTCGCGCGACTGCGTCCACTAGGCACGACAAAACAACTGTGGCATCTGTGCAAAAACTAGGACCGTTCGATAAACGCGCTGTTTTCGTATTACGTTTACTTATCCCCTCGGTACCACCTTCGGAACTGGAATTCTGCGGTATCATTGACCTAAAATATATTCTACGTGTCGTCTTCCACGGTGAAATGTACGTATCTTTTAAAAGCTCAGTGGTAAACCAAATATATTGTAATAATCCGGCAATATTTTACGCCCTTGATGGTCATCCAATAACAATAGGTTGTCAATTTTTGTCTAGGTATCGCAAGATCGTCAAAGAGTATCCGATTGTAATTGGAACAATACCACTGCTGCCTGTGCCATCGGCGCCTGAAGCCCCGTCTTGTTCACATGGATCTACATCTCAGTCTACATCGAAGAACGGAGACATGACTGCAGAACCTGACATCGTACCTTATCCAAGTGCACCTTATCCAAGTTCACCGTTGACGAACGGATTTCTTGATGGTATGTAAAATGCTCAGTACCGATAGACTCTACTAAAATTTTTTTTTTAATATTTTTTATAATATTTGTCTTTCTCTTCTTGTATAACGTTTTAAATAATTTATAAACGTAACAAAGTTCTATATTTTATTTCACCAAGAATATAATTGTTT